TAGTGTGTGTGTGTGTGTGTGTGTGTGTGTGTGTGAGAGAGAGAGAGAGGGAGTGAGTGTGTATCAAAGAGATTATAAAACAAGATTTGAAAGACACAAACAGATATAGATAAATATGGCGAATCTCATGAAACCACGTCTAGGTCACATTTCAACCCAAAATCAAAAGAAAAACATATTATTATTAATGGTAACACTTTAGTACTGGGACCAATTCTAACTATTAACCAGTTGCTTATTACCATGATTATTAACATAATGGCTGTTTATGGCCCCGATCACACCGAACGCGTTTTTTAGGTCTGAAAAGGTCTTTTTTTAGGTCTTTTTTTTTGGTGACTTTTAAAAAAAAAGAGCAGTGCGCTGCGTTTTTTTGTTGCTAGGCAACCACCAAATCAGCTGTCCTGTCAGTCTAATCAAAAGATTATAGCGCAAGCACTCTAAAATCTTTGGTTTTGGCTGTTAAGTAAACTGTCATATTAACAAAAATCCTAAAAAATACAGCTCCGGGTAACCCGCGACAGACACCAAATGTTTCTCCTCCAACATAGCAGTCTCCGGACTTTCTAAGCAACGGTAACCTTTCGTCATCACAACGGAAGGCCCGCCTCTCCGTTCATTCGATTGGACAATGGAAAAAACGCGAATGACGCCGGGCGCTTTTTCTGCTCAGAGTTGCTTTTTTTTCAACTTCAGGCGCTCAGAGCGCTCCTGCAAAAACGCGAGGCGCAGCAGGCGGCGAAAACGCGAGGCACACAGGGCGCTTAAACAGTGCGCAGAACGCTCACTGCCAACCGAAAACAATTAAAAAAAGGCGCCTCTCACTGCAAAAAATGCGTTCTGTGTGATAAGTATCTGTGTTACTTAACAACCAAAACCAAAGATTTTAGAGCCTATTAGTACTTATAAAGCACATATTCTGCATGACCATATTCTACATCCCTAATCCTACCCAACACCTAAACTTAATTACCTTACTTATTAATAAGCAGCAAATAAGGAGTTTATTGAGGTAAATGTTGTAGTTAATGGTTTGTTAATAGTGAGAATTGGACCTTAAATAAAATGACAAAGTGTTACTTAACTAAAATATATAGTATAAAACGGATAGTTCCGGTCCTTGATTCTGATTGGTTGAGCCGCATTCAAAGCTGTTGTAAATTACAAACATACACCTTTGTTTACATCTGTGTTGCTTGGCAACCACTTTGTTGCAACCACAACCGTTTCTGAGAACTGCATTGTTTAGCGGAAGAATAAATGTTTTTATTTATGTCATTCACTCCGCTTCACGTCGTGCCCAACAACACCCCTTAGCTGTTATAAATTCACTGTAAACCACGGCTTCTTGGGGCTTATTGCTTTAATTTATAATATGCAAATTGTATTTTGCATAAAACAAACAGAGGTCCATCACAATTTTTGTAGGGTTTTAGGGGGCTTTCACACTAGCAATTTTAGTGCTCAGCCGGATTCATTTGACGTCAGGGTTCGGTTCGTTTGGATAATGTGAATGCGGTTTTCTGAACTCGGGAGCGCACCTGCAAACCATACTAGATTCCACCTAAAAATGGTGGTCTAGGGTATGGTTCAAGCAAACTCTGGTACGATTCGCTTATGATGTGAATGCAAGCATACTAAATAACGGAAGTGAGCCATTATTAATGACGTTTGAATTAGTCAAACTGCGTATGTGTTTACTCGCTCGCTTTCCTGATAAGCGGGACTGACACGCTGCAGCAGAGAGAATTTAAATCTCATTTCTGTTTGCAGAAAGTGACTCCCGTCTACGACAAATATAACCAGTGGTTCTGGTTCTGAGCAGGTTTCGTGAGATTCGTCCAGACAGGAAAAGAAAGATGCATCATGTTAGAAGAATTACCTGGTCAAACTCGAGGGCTCCTGGGTAGAGGGGCCAGCCCAAGAAGAGCTCAGCAATCACACATCCCAGCGACCACATGTCTATGGCTTCCCAAAAAGGCAGGCCAAGAATGATCTCTGGAGCCCTGTGATGACACAAACACCAATATGAGAAACAGGGTCACTGTAACGAAACAAAACTTCAAAATGTACCTTCAAATTTCACCCTCAGACTACAAACTGTGAGAACTGCGCTTCTGTATTGGCACTGAATTCCTTTCAATTCAATTATTTTGCACAAACTCTCAATCATTTGAACATATAGATGAATTGTTCGGTAACACTTCAGTATAGGGACCAATTCTCACTAGTGACAAGTTGCTTATTAGCATGCCTATTATTAATATATTGGCTGTTTATTAGTATTTATAAAGCACATATTCTGCATCTCTAATCCTACCCAATACCTAAACTTAACAACTACCTTACTAACCTTAACTATTAAATAAGCAGCAAATTAGACATTTATTGAGGCAAAAATCATAGTTAATGGTTTGTTAACAGCGAGAATTGGACCTTAAAATAAAGTGTGACCAATTGTTCACAATAAGATCCAACCCTCTACATTGCGAGTAAATCACTCGCATATGCGACTAAATCTTCACTCTGGCGACTAAATGATGTCTAATATTAGCCAATGGCTAATACATTCTCAGATTTTACTCGCCAGTGTGTGAGTTGGAGGCCAAGTATAAGTTTAGCGCAGATATATTTTCACTCGCCGAACACTCTCTGACTGAGCGCATCAGAGTTTCACTCTCCGCCAAGCGATCTCTGCTGTTTTTCAGTTCATCTGAATGGATGCGCACCGCACCTGTGTTTAACGTACCGTAAATTCTAGTGTGAAGCGCATGACTCGCCGTCGCTTTATCTCACACACACGCAGAGAGAGAGAATTGACGCGCTACATGTAAACGATAT